CTTTGCATTAATTTTTCTACGACTGACACAAATTTCTTAGTTAATGCGACTTCCGCAGATGTGTTTCAGACAAATCAAATCGAGTTGGGTTTGCTAAGATAGCAGTTTACAATACAAGGGCTCAAAATGAAGTTGAAATTGTACAGATCATGATAGAGAGCGCCTCATAGACAGACATTCAAAAATTTCATGCATAAGAAGTGAAGCATTATGTCTGCCGTCCATTAAATATCTAGACACACAAAACCAGCATAGTTTTGAGGCATGAGATGTTGTGTGATTTAGGGCAGTGCGTTGGGAAGTGGGTTAAGAGAGCATCGGAGACAAGCATTGATGTGTCAGTCAATCAGTCAGCAAACAATCGAAAAGATTAAATTCTGAAGGCATAGGCGGAAGTTGTGGAGAGCTGCAAACTAGTGGTGTGCATACCAAATTGTCAAGTTTGAACACACGAGGTTTGGATGGATACGCTTAATACACATCTCGAATTTGATAACTGATACGGATGTGGTAGAAGTACTTCATCATTCTGGTTAATAACTATCAGGTATCAACTTACTTTAAGCAATGTTATTGCAAAATTCTTTAATGATTGATGGAAGATATCTTCTCCCTTGACATAGTGCGCTTACCTTTGAGTGGTGTATCATATGGATCAATCCATCTGGGACCATTTGTGAGCGGCATGGTGTGCTGACAGATATAGTTGGAACAGAGTCAAATTTAGTTTGCAAACCAGACACGCTCAATGTACATCAGATCTGCCGATTGAAAATAAGTAAAACAAGAACACAAGCTATTGTACAGCGCTGGTTTACTAATGCATATCTTTTTCATAATGGGTGCAAGTATGTAACGTATGTATCTTGAAAGTGTCTACAAGTTATGGGATATTTTATTAAAACTTGCAGAAAACCACACGAATTTTTTGGCCCCTTGATGTACATAGCTTTAAAATGGTAGTGGATGCATGGGTCATGTTATTTATGAAAGTTTATTAGACGATTTTAACGATTTTCACTATTCGAAGGGCAGACAAGATCCATGGACCACGGAATTTGACTGACTTTCAAAATACTACTTAAATGCTAAAAAGTCAAAAAAAATTTATGCATAAATGAGGTATGTCCACGAAACTAAATAAGAGGGAAAATTAATCAATAGCCGGGAAAAATAAAAAAAATTCTTTGGGAATGCTGAAATTGACTGCTTTAAAAATGTCAATTTTTATGTGCCTTAATTTTTCACACTTGTAATGACAGGGGAAAAATCCTTTCGTTTCGGTTTACAGGGCTCAGTGAAGACACCATTTGTCCCTTTGCTTATCGAAATAATTAGGTGTACTTTACTACCGCCGTCATGACACCCTTTTCACAGGTTTTGGAAGTATTTACTATTGCACAAAAGCAACAGTTTAACCAGGAAAAGGCCATAAAAGGTGAACAGAATTTCATTGCCCATAATTTGGCTCCGTATTTAATGTAAGGATGCAATCAAGCGAGTCGATTTTAAAAATGGATATTTCAACCCTGACTTTTTCTACAAAGAATGCTTTCATTCCTCATGGCCTGGTTTCAAAGACCCACTACCTTGTCCGGGTTACAGCGCAAAGATAGTAGTAAATCACTTTTCTTTAGGGCAAAAATAGGTCCTGAAATCTCTCATTGCAGCGCAGGCATCATTAACTATAAGGAAACGAATTGACCTGATGATGAGAGTGTAGCTAATGATGGGCGTTGGTTAATATGTGCATTTCCTTTTAGACAGGTGGTTTAAATCATGCAAATGAGCTAGCCGCGCGGAAACCCTGAGATGGCAAAAGAACTTCATAATTACGTCTTGGGAGGAGCTGAATTGGAAGCATGCACTAATTTATTTGCCTGCAAGTGATCAAAGCAATGAACTTGGATGGCATGATAGTTTTTAAAGCACGAATCAAATAAACTCCGTCTTCGGTTTTTCATTGGTGTAACCTCAGCAAATAATGCTTTTATTCTAATAAAATCTGAAAGTAAAATGATTTAGAGGATTGGCTCCTATAAATCCCAAGTAATTAATCTGGAAAAAACATTTGGCGGTGAAGTTATCTGCGTTAAAAATGGAGTAACTTAATAGACAGAAAAACTAAACTCCAAATTAACTAATTGTTTTATTGCTGCGGTGTTTTCGGATGATTGCAGTCAAGACAGCGCGAAGATATGGAAAGATTGAATCGGACAAGTGACTAAAACTACTTGCCAGCTCTACTGCTGGACGACCATGCGGGGTTTAAGATTGCAGAAAAATTTATGGAGGAAAGTAATTAGAATGATATCATGATGAAAAATATGTTAAAAGCATAAACATTGAAGTGTAAAATGCCCACTGCTTGTGAACTTACGCTATGACAACTTTAGTAAGCGAATAAATGATACTTTTATTAGATAAATTACAACCAGTTGCATCAGTGAAAAGTCGAAGTAATAAAACAGAAAATGTATTGTCGACGCACGGAAGGGCTAAGGAACTCTCGACATAGCTCAAGGCCATGTGGCCCAGTGGAAGTACGGAGGGGGGGGTCTTGGTGCCCACAAAATCAAAATGAAGAGTTAAATAAACAATTAAAGCATTACATAGATCTCCTCTTCTTTTAAGGGTGGTTTTCGGCACTATCTTTGGTCAACCTTCTACATTAGCCATCACAGTGTAGTCGGTGCTATAGGGAACCGCCCGTGAAACATCCGCATCAGCCATCGAAATAGAGTACAGCTTAGAATATGTCTAAGCGCAATATCACTGATCCCTCTTGCCACTCCCACTGGATCTGGAGTTTCGTCCCACATGGGAGCAAAATCGGGGGTTGGAGGTCTATGCTAACTATCTGATATATCCATCAGTAGTAATAAGATCGCTAGCCCATAAGAAGAGTAATTAAATAATGGACAAAGTTAAAAAACCAATTTGTGCTGATCTAGTTTCGTACCTGTTCATCTCTGTCACTTTGTTCTCACCCCACTTGCACCCAGCCTTAGCTAACTAGGATCTCTTTAGCTAGTAGAGAGATAAAGGACCTATCTCATGTGACATTTTTATACTGGTACCAAAGATAGCTCCTAACGAATTCTTCAGAAATTTCGCCGCTAGTGCCGCTGCAGTCATAAATAGCATTTCTGAAGAACGCGGGACTGGAAGAGCTGCCGAAGGTGGGCATCATTTTTAATCATTATTTTAGGAGTCGTCACCAATACGCCTATCCGGAGCATATGCCCATCTTCTGTTACGTCAAGATTTAGCACTCAGGAACCAAAAACAGTGTTTGTTCTTAGGACCGAGTGGCTTTTTGATTCCACCAAGGTAGCGCCTCGAGACATCCCTGCAGAAGGCCTAATACTCGGGAGGAATATGTATTATTGAAGTGCAAAAGATTTGGGGGAGTAACGGGATGGATTGGAGTCCATAACGCCCAGCGAAAATACAGGGGCGGATGCCTCAGTGACCTCTATTCTAAACAAATGGCTGAAGTATTATCCGGTGTGGCAGCCATTGTTGCAAGGCATATCTTAATGTCAAAGTAGTTTTTATGTAACAAAACAGCTTAATTTGCAATGAATTTTTTTTCTTAGCAAAAACATTAAGTTTAGATTATTTTTAAAGAAAAAATGATTGCACAAATCATGAACACAGTCACAATACCCTAAGGAATTCATTCAATCGGGGAGGTTTAATAACCTCATCAAAACACAAGCATTCGCACACCGAGTTCTTCCCGATATGTCTACGCGGCACTGAAGATTAGAAAACTAAGGCCCGTTGGAATCCTAAAAGTTTACTCTTTGCCTGACTGAAACGAGTAGTATCGATCATAGACAAATAGGGATGTACATGCATGGCACTAAAAGAATTTGTGCCTAACCCTTTATAAAATTCCACACCAAAAACTCATCCGATGCAAGGTTATCAAAAAACAGAGATAATTTATGAGTACAAAATCTTAATATATGTTTAATTCATCACGACGGGTTGTAGAAGAAGTAATCATTATAAACTTACCTGAGCATAAAGAAAAAGGCATTTTCCTATTTTGCTGCGGTGACGTTAACGAAAATAGGATCAAAGTGGCAGTACTGCCTTCCTTTGCCATGTTACACTTATATTATTATATATTATTAACAACAATTAAGAAATTCGGAAATTACCTAATTTTGGAGCAATGGCAATGTCTTGGAAAGGTTTGGTTTTCTGAACTCCTAAAACAAGCAAATATTTTAATCACAAAACATGGTGTTCATATTTTAGAAAACAAAGAGCTTGTATTGCTTAAAATTTACAAGAAATCTAAGCGTTCAGTTACAAACAGTCAAATAGAGCTTATCCAGAAATAAATCGTACGGGTTAATGAACTTGAGGGGATACAATGCGTTTTTTTTTCTGGAAGGTCATGTACCCTAAGTCAGTATTTGAAAAAAAGATACGAAGACTAAATGCTCTTGGATCTCTTTGATGAAAAATGTGCTCGGATTTGATTATGCCGACGTTTTCTATAAATAGGCAAAGGGTGTCTCTTTTTTGTTCCCCCAAAATCCCCAGCAGTCATTGTCGGTAAGAGGCGCAACCTTCGCCTGCCAGGATAACGCCTAATGCGATAACTCCTCCTGTCTGCCTGCCCGACCCAAATGCCTTAAGTTATTCCGTCCGCTGTCGCTGCGCCCGCTATAAAACCAGCATACACAATTGCTACATTTCAAATTCATAGACGCAGACCTAGTAAAACCACGTAGCTCTGTGCGGAGATGGAGGGGGAAATAAGATAAGCCAACAATTTTTTCAAGAAAAGAAACTTGGTAACGGTCTTTGCTAGCATAACCGTCAAAGCTCAACAGATAAACAACTCAAGGGCAAAGAAGTAAAGAGTAATTGCTCCGCATATCGGCGTTGAAACGCCTTAGTGTAACTAAAAATAGTCAAGATCAAGATTTATGTATAATTACAGTCAAAATAACAGTCATAATTAAAAAGTAGCCCTACCAAATTAAAATAAGAAGATCACTGAATTTGAGAATCCATTTCACAGAGTTTAAACAACTCCATGTTTCTAAAAGACATTCTGAATTATAAAACAGAAAAAAAAGGAACTATATTTAGAATAAAATCCCAAAAACTGGAAAAAAATTGGAGTAAACAAATGTACCTCGATTTAATAATTAAAATATGCAACCCTAAAATGAAAAGAGTTTATAGAATCAAACAGAGAAGGTGTCCTGGCCTTACCTACGCTACAGTGTGTGTAGCCTATATATTCTGTTACTTCTCACAATGTCTGGATTAGTCCAGTCCAAACACCAGTAATCAAGATAGAAGGCACCGTTGGCAGTGGGTGATTGAGTGGAAAAACAAGCGGTGGTAGACAGATCCGCAACGAACATTTTCAGTGATTTACGGCTAGTACCTATTCAGTTGTTGATAGCATTCCTGTAAAGCACGGAACTGAAGTGGCTACCGAAGGTAGACCTTACTTTCAACCCTTTTGTTAGGGGTGCATCACAAATTCTCCTCTCCGCAGCAAATGCTATTCCACCATCACGTTTGTTATTCCTTAATAGAAATTAGGGAAATTGCACTTTAGAATCCAGTTTGCTTTCCGCCACCACCTCGGATTCTTTCTGAAGTCAAAAGAAGTCATAATACTGGGACCGAATATGTATTGCTGATATATAGAATGGCTGCGGGATGCTAGGAAAGTCCAAAGGGCCTCATTTGTGAAGCAGTATTTGTAATACTTTAGGCAACTTCAAGTTAAACATTGTGCTATTAACCAGGAAGAGACTTCAACAAAATTGTGTATGTAAATTATTAACAGTAATTTTATGCTGTTTCGCGCTCCTTTTCCACTTCTAATTTTTCTGAGATTTTTGCTAACACTATTGCGTCTGTTGCTTGAGGATATTCACATACTTTGACTTGCGGATTACTAGATGATCATTCTTTTTGACATCGCTGGTGTTACTGCTGTCAACAGTATGAATAGCAGCTGATTCGGTGGTGTATCTGGCATTTGCTTATGTAGCTTTTGCGTGGTTACAATCATGACAGATACGCAAGTAAAGTTAAAACGGTTTTCCACTTGAATTTTTTTCATATACTTTCGTGTTTCACATTTATCTTGTCTCGAGGCTAGGGAGAATAAATTACTGACGCTGAACCATGCGCTCCACGAGTTACAACAGGGACTCAACACACAGCGTGTTACACTACGCAATATTTTGAAGATGGCTAGTCGGACGTTTGTACGTCAGCATTGACGGCAGATGTCGTGATTCAGTTCCCAGCCTACAGAACTGCGGTTATTCAATGCCGCAAAAATTCAGCAGGAATGTGGAACTCCCTGTGACAATATTGCACAAAAGTCAAATTTCCATTTAAAAACGGTGACACAGGATAGTCATTCACGAGATTTTGCGATTGCTAAAATTTGGTGAACACCGAATTTTAGCAACTTCTCCCTCGGGCCCACATTGCTCACCTTACTGTGTACACACTACAGTGACCTAAATGATAGGTCCATCATCAAATGACAAAACCGAGGATGTAAAAACTGCATTTGCCTTTTGTAGTGATCCTTTTTGGTACACATTTTATCCTCTTCAGTAATCAAATGCTGACTAAAAGTTGCAGCAGTGGGCTTTACTATCCTAGTACAGCCTGCGGTTCATAGAAAGGCTCCGACAGTAACTTTATTTACTGGCTTGTTTGAGCAAGCAGAGAAATACGGCATGTGCGTACATGCTAACTAACTGGTTAATAAAAAAAACTGAAGATTCAGAATAGTTTTAGTCTGGAGGATTTATGATGTCTGGTTGGCACTCTTACTGGCACTCTTAAAGCACATCTTTCCTTGAGTTTGGCCAATCGGGAGGGGAGAAAACTAGCGCGGCACTCCAGAAGTTTTGGGAAAAAGGCATGCAAAAGCAAGCCGCCGAAAGACCAAAAGGCAGCGTCGCTTAATCGCATTTGTTTGTTTTGCGTGCGAAAGTGAAATCTCTTTTAATGGATGAATTTGTCACTTTAGCTCCCACTTAATCATATTAAAATCAGGTTAACTGTGTCAAGGTTGAAATGACCCCATAAATGCTAACGATATCGTTTTTAGACATTTATATTCTATTAATGTTTAGCACAGCTATTTCGTTTGACATTAATAGCCTATTTGTTCTAGCCGTGAGGGCCATCCATGTCATGCACTGTGAGGAGCGCTAGATTTACATTTCACGAAGCATCAAATGACACACAAGTCTTTTTAGAGCTACAAATTTAGCCCCACCAAGCATAGAGCTGACTTGTAGGAGAAAAGCAACACATACTTGTGGGGTAATTGCTTGCAATTTAAACGTATGAAGTGTGGGCTCACCACAGGAACCGCCCTTTCCATCCAAAAATTGCTTTGGTTGAGGTGTTGGATCAAATTTTAAAATTTAGTGCATTAATGGCATGATGATCTAAAGCAATGTTGGCAAAAGGTGGTCGGAGGAGTACGTAAAGTACAGGTTATAATTGGACCACTAGGTATGTATGAAGTAATTGTCGATCGCAATCAACAGGAGATAGTATTTAAAAAATGATTTTTTTGAAAATACGGGAATTTTTCTAGTGAAGTAAACACTTCTTCCCCAGTGAACAACAAAATGCGCTTAATTCTAAACTGCAAATCCGTAGTACAAACCTTTTGAGCCTTCATACGCTAATTTTATGTTTAACCAACTGTTTCGGTAACGAGCCAGTTAGGGGCTTTGTCTTTGTACCCTAGCCTGGCGACCTGGCCCCTGCACCGTGCCAACGGACACCAAAACCTTCTGTTCGTCGGCAGTATATGTTCCGTCCGGGTGTTATGCCCACTTTGTACTCATTGGAGTCTTGGGATGAGGGAGGAAGAGCCTAATTAAGTACTTTGACTTAATACATAAAGATTACCGATTCTACATTAGGCATCATTCAGGCAGATTCAATGATTAACAGACTATTAGTTTTTTACGGACAAAGTAGTCACATTAACAAACATGTATATGTAAAAGAAGCAGTGATCCATAAAATCGTTTACAAAGACTTCTAGCTTGTGCCTGGGAGTAGGGTTTTAGAGATTTACAAGCCTTCAGAGAAATGGAATGCCAACATTACCGGATTCATAAAGGAGGCTTAGTTATCTGAGACTTCAAACCACCGATTAAAAAGAATCAAGTTGTTTTTTATGAAAACAGTGCAACGCTATGAGACTTCCCTAAGGACGCATGAAGGCATAATATGTAGGCAGAATATGTATGGTTGATGTGCAGTGGGACTAGGGGCTATAGACATAGCGTGGAGTCTAGGCCATCCAGAACATCTCAGGACAATCAACACTGAAGCCGATGATACTTTTCGCATTGGCTGTAAGATTGCAAATCCCACTTTTCACACCACTCTCCAAAAGGAACGAATCTAATTTTAGTCACATCCAATATTATCTCAAGGCTATTTCTCAACTGCCTATTCGGAGCTGCATGTTTGTCCAGTGCCAAGAAAAGGCCAAGATCAACTAGAGGTCTATCAAGGGAATACAAAAGTTGAGAGTGAGGCTAAAGCGTCAGTTTCCTCACGAGTGATTTTTGCTGCGAGAGGACCATTTTGTCTTGTTAGAAGTGGACAATTCTCGGATTGATAGGCAAATCCCAGATTTTTTTCTCAATCAGCGGTCAAGGAAGAGAAACCCGAAGTCGTAGAAGAAGTTTGTCTTGCACGATGTGTGACATCAACTGGTATTGAGTAGATAAATCTCAGCTGGAATCGCTCAACATTCAGCTGTTTAACAGCTTGAAGGGAAACATTCTGTCTGCAGTCCACACACAAATACATGCATATATGTGGAAACAAGCAGAGTTCTGTGGGATGAAGCAATGTGTGAATTAGTACATTGAACTAAGAGATAGTTTGGAGACAGATAGTGAGGTAATTGTTCTCTTTGCTCGGTCAATCTGTCAGCCAGTGAGTCAGCGAACAGTTAAAAAGAGCAAGTTCTAGAGATGAAACGGCAATAGATTTAGCTTATTTTCACATGTTAATGCATTTTTTCTCCACGAACTTGTTTGACACCCATCCTAAACTTGACTATTGATGTGGATGTAAAGGAGTTGTTACACCATTTCTGTTAAACGCTATCAGGAGTTGACTTTACTACGTTAATCTTGAGTTGCTTTAAAGAATGGCGGCACCCAATTCTTTAGCAGAAAAATTGGCAGTTTTCTCCCCCTAACGTGATATCTTAATCCTAAAGTAATCCTTTACAGTCGAAATCTGTCGAACATAGGCAGTTAGTGACTGGTGCGGTCTGCTACTACAGATCCCTGCCTTTTTAAAATGCTAGCCATCAAGTTTAACGAGAACTTAGCTTCTGCACCATTAAAACCGAATTAAGTATAATTTATTAGACAGGCGATTTAAAATCACATCATTTGCTAGCATGAGGGTACAGCATAAGAGAAAGTTAATCTAAGGTACAACAAAACGACCTCTAAGAGTGGTGCATATTTGAGTCTTATGCAAAGGACCCAACCCAAGCCTTCTACAAATCAACAGGTGACCAAATGTGCCATTGCAAGGTCTTTTTGATCACCTGATGCTTTTATGTGAAGAGAGGTCAATATCAGGAGGATATGCCAGTTTCTTTATTTGTAGTTGCCTAAATTTGGCCCATCGCACTACACATATACCAGAGTCAGACTCTAAGTAAACTTCATAAAAATAAACTGCTACGCACCTCACCTGCAGCCTTTAAATTACCACAAAAACTCATAGAATTCAGGTAATAAAAAGAATGCCTTCTAGTTGTACCTCAAATTGAATACTTCAAAACCTTAATCAGGCGATTAGAAGTGGCTTTCTCTTAAAAAATGTTGCTATAAAATTGTCAGAGCGTGAAGCTTTGCAAAACCTTGCCATTTGTCTAAAGAAGGTATGTCGATGTAGACTTAAAAGAATGTGCAGTGGAGCATAATGCATGTACACAGGTAAACGGATGACTGCACAACTTATGACTTAATTGCGCGCCTATCCGATGGACATAATTCTTCTTAATTTCTGCAAACGATGTCTCCATGTATACGTAAATGTTCCTTTGACCTATAAAAGATTTCTTTGGGAGAAGGGTTTCCGGTAAGCGTACATGGCTAAGATAATTTTGATTTTCCCTTTCAAAAAATTGTCGAATGTTTTTGTCAAAATCGTAAATTTCCTATGCAGTAGATGATTTTGGGTCTTTAAATTAGCGACATTCTTTGTACTTCGTCCCATTGCAGAACCAGGAGCTACATTTCAAAACAAATTAAGGTACCAATGGGAATGTAAAGAAGTAAGTTTGACCAAGGTCTACAAACGTAGTCCAGAAGACTACATCAGCTGTGCAGAAAATCTGAGCCGAGTTTAAGAAAAAAAGAAGCAAAAGACCTTAATTCATAGAAAATTGGAATCGCCTATCCGTCCATCTAATCGTCCATCCATCTGTCCATCACTCCATGCCACTGTAAAGTGACAACTTACACAAGAACTTTTTGCCTCAAATACTCCATTATGCGACTGAGTTTTCCCAACTGTGTTAATTTATAAGAACAGAGATTAATTTTCAGATTTGGCATGCAGACAACATTATTGATAAAGAAAAAACCTAACAAAAGTATCATCTACAAGCATGAAAGAAAGCATCGAGAGGAATGTGCTCGTGAATTGGTTGCTTTTAGATTTCTTAGTTTTACAATCTGTTTCTCAGTTGTGCTCTTGAATCTCCTGAAGAGTATGCCATTGTGCAATCGGTCGGCGCGGATTGGCTAGCATATCGGACCAATGACGCAGCGCGGCACCGGTTGAGCTGCAGCCGAGAACTATTCGACCGATGGGATCGGAGGAGCCCACTCGGTCATAATCCACAACGGTTACGATCAGATTTACTTTCTACAAAATTACATTCAAGTAAAAAATCTACTCACTTCCTTTTATCAAAATACTAATTTATCTGATGTATTTACATGAGAAAAAAGAAGGTTTTGAAGAAAGCAGTAAGAAGCAGTCTTATGCAAGAATTTGAGTTAATTTAGAAATATTAATACCGAGTTTCGATAACAGACAACGGAAGTCAAAGTGGTGCCAAAATTCACCGGTTTTCTTGAACGATTTATTAATTCCTATCAATGACATACGTACAAAATAAATTTAAACATATTATTAAAGCAAAGAACTAAAAGTTAACATACGCAAAATTCCCTGTTTCTATAGCTACAAAAATTATGTGTTTATGGAAAGGGATTCCAAAATTACCGGTTCCCTGATTCGGTATAATCATACCTCAACATGAATTTAAATAATGATTCTGAAATAAAATAATGAATTTTGAGTTTGCAGCTATGAGACGAACTTTTTACGGTGGGGTAGATTGTATCTCCATTCACAGCATATTAAAAGGAAAGTAGAGAAGTGAAAGTGCCTCACCTGAATAAGATCAAAAGGAACGTCGAATGAGAAGGACTCATTGTAGTAGGGGTTGAGGGTACACTTTTTAATTGTTGTCTTCTTCTTCTTTATTCGTCTGCCTTGAAGCATCAAGGAGAGCTTTACGTAGGGATCTGGCAACATAAAATTGTATTGTAAGAAGCTATTTACATAGTCACACAAAGCATTTAAGTTAATCATTTCTTAAAGTGACTAAAAACTTGGTGCTTAAACTAAAAGTCAAATAGGTAATGAACACATTTGTAGTGTTTCCCTGTGATCATTCCAATGCCTGTTTTAGTACAAATTACCGTTGTCAAAGTACCGAAGAACATACCTGAGAGGCCACCTACATCCATCTTTTTTAGATTTTTGGCTTCCAAGATATTAACTGTCAATTTTCCTGAGGTGGGAACATAGCGAAGCGAAAAACAAATGTCACCGAGTCGATTTTCCTGTTAATTTTTTGAAAAAAGGATGAAACTTTAAGTTATTTTTGAAATGGGGTATTAACAGTAATGAAGAAAGCAAATTTATTTGTTCCACATTAGGCGCGATCGTTTGTTTGAACCCTCGGTTTCGGTGATGGGTCACCTAGGGCTCCACCTTTTCACATTTACCAGTCGGCATGGCCTCCGGGTCATGTCAGTAGCCCCAGGCTCTAAAGTACGTCGACAATGTATATTTTGACTGAACTCGATGTCTCCTCTTGGCTTTGGGAGGTTCTTGGGGCGAAATATTGATAATAGCAGAAAGCAAACCCATTTCCAAGAACAACTACACAGATTAATGCTAATGCGTTAAAAACCTTAAAGTGATGGGAAAAATACGTGTGTGACGACCCCTTTAAAAGGCTGAAAATGACATCTACGTTTGGCAACCAACAGAAAAGCCATTAACAACTAAAGTGACACCAGTTGTGGCCACCAGCCATCTGCAAAAGTTCGTTAAGGAGCTGTCGACCTTATCTATATGACGATACCAATTATGTAGACCGACGATAATTCCTCCACTTCTGTACCGTCTGGATGGAATCCAGCTAGATACGGCTAAGCTATACTGAAGTAAGAACAAAGTGACACGGAGGAATGGACACGAAATCTCATTCCCATGGCATTGGTTCGGACACCTTTCTTTACTTATGACAGTGCTTTTAGGACGGTACTCCTAAGACGAGCGATGAACATGTGTGAGTAGTGTAGCCAAAGAGGACGGAACTCCAGATCCACTGGATTTCCTGAGCGAATTTAGTGATGCGACGATCAGCGGTCTTATCAGATGCATAAGAATTCGATGAATGATGCGGTTGTTTGACGGGGGTTTCCTTTTAGCGCTGACGTGGGAGGCTGTCCGAGGGGAGCTCTGAGAATGACACTCAAAGGAGGAGAGGACCCATAAAATACTATGATTGCTTGTTCAACTCTCAGTTTTGGTAACGGTCGGCTTATGACCCCGCCATCCAACCTCCGCTGGGCAGTTTGGTAGCCAGGCCATGTCCTTACTTCCAAACCATGCTGTACGTCGACAGTACATGTTCTAGTCAAGTATTATGGCTTCTCTAGACTTTGAGAAATTCTCAGGGCGCTACACAAAGGCCTCCTATTTACACTAAATAATTAATAACTGGTTACTTGAACATAAAATATTTAGGTGTTTGACACTTATTACATCATTCACAGCTTTAAGTCATTCGAAATTTATGTCACATATTAAAGATATGTTCATGAGGTATGCCGTGCAATATGAAATGTCTTAATATCCTTAATTCAGTGGTAGCTAAGGTAGGCTTCAAATAGTAGGACTTTATTAGCCATGTATTTTTAAGTGAATAATCCGTAATCGTTGGAAATTTTTAGCCGCCTTAAATGATCCTTTAAGTGCCTAATTGCTGGCGAATTAAAGAATGCGAAAAAAGAAGCATGCATTCCATTTCCATTTATCGTATACATTAGTGTCGCAGTGCTATCAAAGTAAAAATTTCAAATGGCTATTATTTAGAGTTACACAAAATTCTATTAACAATAGTAAATAATTTTCCGGAAGTCACTTCTAAACCTAGTCTTCGCCTTTGCAATACGTTTTATCTGTTGCCGTTTTTCTGTCCTTAAATTTCAACTTAAAGCTATTACACGAAACTATCTTAGCGAAGGCTTTAAGTTCTTCTTGACTTCTGATTAAAAGTTCAAACTAAAAGCCGCTAACTTTAGCCACGAAAATGGAACAGGATTAAGAAACGGCTTAAGTAATATGCCGTTAATTTTTTAGTATGCTACCATGAGAGACAGCTTCCGAGGTCAACAGATTCATCACCTTAGTAAAAGCATCCTGGGAGGATTGCATAAGGACCGCGACTGCAAGCTTTCCAGTGTGGAATATTTAGAGCACTTTTTGGGCCATTGTGGGTTGCCATGACTGTGGTGAGAACATAAGTGTCATCTTGCAAGAAAGCTTCTCAGAAAACACATTCATTAAAATTGTGGAATATTACTGGTTTAGATAACCTTTGAGAATATTTCAACGAGATTATTTTAGGTATGAGCTTAAGAAAAATAGAATCATAGCACGCGAATTTTCTGATTATTGCGGAGTGGATTGGATTTTAGTAGATCGCAAACAATCATTCGGTACCAATTCATCGGTATGCAAAGAATAACAAACCGATTTGTGTTCTAAAAGGATTCCATTATATATAAAGGCTATTTTAAGAAACTTTATTTAAGTGGCACTCAAAAGAGCAGAATTAGTTGTAATCACATTCAACATTAGGAGAGAATAAAATTCGTAGGAGTAATGGAGGAGGGGGAAAGGCGGGAGAGAGGAGAGAGGAGGGAACTGGACGCTTTGATTTACTGCCAACTCATAAAAACGCCCTAGCATTTTGGCAGAGGAAAGGATGCGTGACTCAATTTCAAAAAAGTTACCTTTTAATGCCCGTCTCTCTGCCTTTTAGTCTGCACGCCTTAGAGACTGGTGAAGCAATAAAATTCTATACAGAATCCTGAGTCATTTTCTACATTTCGTATAACGAGAGACCAGAGAATTATAGAATCTGCTTTCAATCAAATTTGGTTTTCAGAAAAAACGATTGAAGTGAACCAGCCCAATACACTAAAAAGGCCTTTTCACAGGCTCAATCACCATTAACTCAGTGAAATAGCTTCCCTTTTGAAGGGTATCCGTGGTAAAATTACGCAAATGTCGCAACTGAAAAGCACTAAATTTCAACACAATCCAATTTAAAATCATAACTCCATTTCAATTAATTTCATTTTAGGATGCTAAAACAATGAGGAGGTAACTAGTATACATTTCAAAATATACCTTTTCATTCTCCGAATCAGTTGGTTCAATAGGACGCCATTCTTCAAGAGTTTGGCAGAGATCAATGGAACCCAGTGGAATTTTCAGTTGGCCAATTTGATCGTGTTTGGAAAACCGATCAAAATCGTAGACGTAGAGCACCAGCGTAGTTCCCGAGATCTCCGCATAGGGCAACTAAACATAAAAACGGACTTCTAAAACGGATCAAATGTGTTGGTTTTGCGCCACGACTGGCACAAAACTCCCCATAAGTGGTAGGCAAAAAAAAGTAAAAAAATTATGCTAGAGAATGGTCCAAACATATCCTGAGTGCTTAAAAGTTTGAAAAAATACAACTATTTCTTAAACAATGTTAAAGGGTTAATTAGGATACAATTTTGATGGTAATCGGCTGAATTAAAATAATTTTATGAGAAAGGAATGCGTAACAAGAGTAAAAAACAATGGCACAAGAAAGGTGTGTTATTTTGGTCAATTCCTAATTACATTGTGGCCTTAGAAGTAGAGAAAAAGTGTCAAAACATCAGAATGTCCAGCCGNTTCAGAGCCACTTAAAGTGATTAGACGGCTACCGTAGCATAGCGCAAAGGAAACCGCCATTCTGTTGATGGAATGAAGGAGACTGACTTCACAGAGGTGACCGCCTTTCGACAAATCTCAGTGCATTAATCATCTAATTAGTCTCGATTTCTTCAGATGAAATAATGAATTTCAGGAAGGATGGCCAATTTCATTCCGCCAACTAGTTTCACTCAATCTGGCAATCATCGTCAATTATAGTCAGTTGCATATAACTGTAATTAGTAGACAATTCCCGATCAGGGATACCTCTAATAAATGCACAATTAACACAACAGTGTCGTTGAGAACCTTACTGGCAATCAGATTTCTACAGTGTCGGAAGAATACGTTTTTAAAATTGTTTAGCCTACATTTGTAAGGCTTTAATAATAGTTTTTACACCTTAATTTTTGACTCCACGGAATAATAAATTACCGAGTGCGCAAAAAATTTACGGCTCACCAAAATTAAAACGACTTTTCTAGCAAAATAGAAGCACCTCACCAAGTAGAATGAAAGTGAAATTAGTTCAAATTGGATTTTTTACTAGTCTAGAAATGTCATGAATTGGGTTGATAAATGAAAACAAAAATAAATTTGCTCTATGTAGGGAAATTATACCCATTACCATGCCGCAAAAGTCTTTCATAGAAGTCTTTTCCGGTGGTAGCTTGATCTTTTCCCAATTAGTTAGGAGAAAATAAGTAGACTTTAAGAGTTATTTCTTGCAATCGTGGTTTGGCTTTCAAAAACAACGAAGGTTGAGGAAGCTAAAAGATGGAAGAAAATTAGGTGAAGAACAAATTTGCCATATTTAAAGCACACTTTATGCGTAGAAAGAGACACTATCCTCCATTTGACTAGGAACATTGATCAAAATTTTTAAAGGTTATTTAAACAAGTGCCAATAATTCCATCCTTACCATCAATGTACACACTCGCTTCTCCGTATTAGAAGATGATACTTTCAATATCTACTCCACTCCTTGTCTGAGAGGCTAACACAATTAGTCCAGATTTTATATTATCAGGCGCCTACACTTAGACCTAATACATATTCACTATTTACTGAATTAAAGGGTCACAAACAACAACTGCAAACAGTTATCTTACTGTTGTATAAACTGTTACACCGTTTTCCTCATTGCCATGGTTGCTACCACACGCTTAGCTATTCTAAAGCCGTCGTATTATTGCATGAATTTCAGACTCTTTGGTTCATTCAAAATAAGAATTGGGAGAGAATGATGTGTTGCTACAATGGACACGCATCTTTTACTTGTAGCATTTCTTATATCTATAAAAAAGGCATGGGGAAAGTGCTGCTTCACCCAAAATTTGCCCTCCAAAGTGACAAGCATTGCAGAGAACTGCAGGAGTTTTAGATTTGTCAGGCAACCAAACTGACGAGTCAATAAAAAATCGGCAATTTTGGTTGTCTGTTGCGAAGTTTCCGAAGCCAAAAACAGAGTGGATGATTCTATTTAATACAATGCGTAAAGGAGTTAGCTATAAGGTCAAACCTCACAAATAATTTCCAAAACCCCAAGAAACAGAGGTATCATTTGATCTGCCCATGTGCTGAAGTATCCTTTGCAATCAGTCATTAAAAATGACTTAAAAGAAATCAAATGAAAACCTGAAATCTTAACCTAATCATAAGAAGTAGATGGTTTTGATGTCAGTGTATAGAATAATGCAAAAGTAGGTTGAGTTTGCCCCACAAAGTGCATAAAGTCATTATTCAGGCTTGTGAAAGTTTCAAAACAAATGCTAAATACCAGAAAAAGGTTTCGTAAAGTCCTTTACCCTCTAAAAATCACCAATCCATCCCATAATTTTTCCTAATTGAGAAATAAGCTTAAGAATTTCATTTTTAAAGCACTTTTCAGTGGTACCTATCCTGCTGTCTGCCTTGCTTTTACCTCTCAGCTGTCTTTCCAATTTCGCGTTTGATTATATGGTACCGGAAAAAAGAAGAAAACATGAGGGAAGTTCAGTGATTGAGGGTGAGAAAGTAACCACTTCTCATTCTATCAAAAGTGAAAACTTTTATACGGCTGATTTCCTCCGTACGAGGTATGGCTCTTTTCAGCAAGAATAGGCCTTTCCTCTGAGGAATTGACCATTGTTAGATTTTTGAGAAAGAAGAAGGGGTTTTCTTTCACAACCTCAGGTTTTGGTGATTTGTATCCAGTAGGCGGAATCCAGTTATACGTGCTTGACCTTTAGTAGGTGAACAGTTTCTTCTCATATACAGGTTGATTAATAGAGTAGCGGATCATTTTGAAATACTCATTGATGCGTTCATTCGCACAGACATTTTTAACTAAGGGGACCATCTCTTTTCATAAATAAGTCAATGCACGGTCTAAAATAGGGCACTGTGATAAACCAGATGAAAGAAACAAAAAGAATCTTGTTAATTTTGCCCATCTTCATCTCAAACAGCATGTAAGTTTAGCCAATTTTCTTAGTTCCCACCACTGCTTCAAAAGCTGTTGCAAGTGCAGGTGAATTGTTTCAACATTCACTTCAAATATGCTAAAAATAGGTCTGGACACGCAATTTTCAAATTTACAAATTTACAAATTTACATAGTTTCTCTTTTTGGGAGGATAAAGAAACTATTTTTAGCAGTTGGGCACACATCTTTGGGTGATTTACCACCAAAAATAAGTAAACTTCAACTACCGGATGTAGCACCCTCAGTAAACACTGAAAGAGAGGATGCTGTGGCATCTTTGGATCCATGTCCGTCTCCGTTCGCGGATCAAAGAAACCCAACTCACACTAGGCCCATCCAAAATTCTACTCATACGAGTGGTTGACACAAGAGGAAAAACGTCACAAATGAAAGACAGAGTATGGGCTGATTGATGCATATCCATGCATTACAATGTAGGCATCCTAAAACCCGTATTCACAGACCACTTAATGTACCAACAAGTCACTTTAGCAAGCTATTTCGAAATCTAAACGGACTTTTTGCTTGTTTGTTGTAGTTGTTAAAAAACTGTGCTCTTTATCATGCAGATTACTTGTTGCCAACCGACCATAAAGGCGTTAAATTGCCTCATTATGAAAATGGGGTCCATCCTTTATAGCCAACATACATCTGGCGCCTGCCAACAAAAAGAGTTTGGCAAGGCAAGTGCGAATTTGCTTCATCTAAAAGGATGCAAACTACATCACGAATTTGGGAAATTTATTTTCAAACCTTTTTCCTCGTGGAGAATCACTCCCAGAGTTCACCAGAAAAAAAACAGGCTACCGAGGCTTCAGATTTCCATGAATGCAAATTCTCCCAAGGCTTTATGCGGAATATCAAAATTTGCACAGAAGAGACTTTTCACGATGAATTTTCGCCATTTTGAGCATGTGCGTGGCATTTCGGAGTCAAGTCCCAGTTGACGATGCCGCTTTCAGTGCCTTAACTGTCAATTAGGGCCATTATTTAGCTTGGACTGTTTAAAAAGATTTTTTTTTGTTGAAATCTCAGCAAGCAAACCAATTAGCTGTAAATAGAACAACTTTAATCATCCAAAACTTTGAGATAAATTAATGAAATTTTACCTCAAATAGGTAGCTACTTCTACTCTACTGTAGCCAGAACATCCGCAAGGCAACTTGTTTATTTTCGTCCCAACTCACTTCTGGGCGATTTTATTGTTGAACATTGGGAGGAGTTAATAATTATTCAAATTTCACAACTCCCCAAATTTGGAAGCCCCCCTACAGGCGACCATGAGCCAAATCCTATTTATTACTTAAGCCATATGTAAGCTACCAAAATTGTTTATTCGTAAATAAGAATTGACTTGCAAACTAGGTGCTTCACAGACAAAATGCAATGAAGTAAATGAAATCAAAGCATCGTAAGTGAAATGTTCATGCTAAATTCATCAACTAAAACGTGTGAAGCGCTGAAACTGTCGCCGTCCAGAACAAATTTACATTTAAATCCACTATATTCCCGATGGAGGGATAGGAAGGAAAAATTTAGCAAACCTGCATATGAGGCAATTTTGTGACTTTTCATCGATATGAATAAGCAATTAGAAAGAAGGGGGGTTTTTTCCTTCATACCCGTGGCAGACAAGCTGAGCTAAACTGACCACAGCAATGGCCACACCATTTACGAACCCTGTAAATATTTACTGCAAGCCCAGAAGATGAAAAATTATGCAGGGCGCTCCGTTCTAATGATAAATTAGAAATGTTGTCTAGATGCTTTTTGTAAGCCTATCCCAAGGCGTTATGCTGCCTTAAAACAAGTTCTTCTACCCGATCATCTCGACCTGTGATAATTGCCAACCTTACACAGATTTAGGCGAAGGGGTGTAAAGCTGTCAGATTTTCCAAGTTTTTACGTACAGTGTATTACTTTTTTGTTTTAAATTTGGTTCCGAGGTTAGTAGCCCTCATGACAGAGAAACAAGTCCCACTTTTTGGACGAAAAAGTTGTTTACGGCTTAAAATACCATTTTGTAAAGTCCATCACAGCTTAATTGAAAAGCAACTGATCAAGCCATAATAAATAACTAAGAAGTAGTCCCAGTTTACACGATCACATTTTAAACGATGAATATCCCAGATAGTGGAAGAGATAAAATCGCATTATTGGAGCAACAGATAAATTTCTTTGTGCTCAAGTAAGCGTCAGATGAAGATGAAGGCATAGAAACTACGAGTGATGCAAAATAGCTGGGGACTGCATTAATCAAGGATTTGGAAAATATCAATGAAGTAACAATACCCACCACACACTTTTATGGGGCTTCTCTAGATAAAATAAGACTGGAATGATTTCACAAATGAAATCCCAACCCTTTGGGGGTCGAACGCATGGGTGCAGAAGCTTAAAGACAAAATTGCATTATCTATTCGAGGGTCAAGCATTTGCCTGCTAATACCTGAGGTCACGTGAATTGTGATTATTAATGATAAGTTGTTCGGTACGATAAGTTCCTCATCTTTGTTATAACTTAGACTACTTACATTACTACCTAGCAAATAAATAGCTGATTTGCCTTTTTTATTTTTCCCACAGTCAAACTAGACCCACTGCCATCTGATATTTGCTTCTAAATGAACTTAGAATAAGCCATTGAATTAAACACTTACCTTAAATACGAAGGTTTCGTTGAAAACGGGATTTAGGGTTTTGCGATGCACCTTCGTTTCAAATTTCTTCTTTTTATTTGGAAGAAGAAATACCTTTACATAGGGGTCCGAAGTTCCACACATATCCATTGCGGGAAGATCACGAGCTTGGATAATTCCAACAGTCAGCTAGACAAAAAGAGACAGCTAGATTTATACAGGGGAGAGATGTGTCAGAATGCTGTTTTGTTTTAGCTAGAGGGTACGAAAGGTCCTTTCAGTGTAACGCAATCCTCTCAAGTATTGTAACAAAGACATAAAACAATTAATAAAAACATTTATGGCTTACGCTCAATAAATAACTTTATTTAAAGTTCATACAAAAAATGAATATACTTTGGTGTCTTATGGAAGCTGCCTTGGACGGTAGTGGTAATTCGCATGATGGTAGATGGTAGCGAAAACCATATGGTTTTTAGAGCTGTGCACTACACATTAAAATTTTGATTTTAAGATTTTTATTGAATAAAAGTATTTATGGGTACCTAAAGTAGTCTCGTTCAAGAACAAGAGCGAGGGTGGAAAAATTCCGCCAAAATATGGTCAAATACTTTCAGGATAGATGATTTAAACACAATCTTTAAAATTAAATAAAATAAGGTCGAAATGGAATTAGGGCAGGGTCTTGCCTCATTCTTTTGAAAATCGAACTCCACGGAGTACTGCAACGAGCCTAAAGAGACCTTTTCCTTTACATCCGCTGCTTTTTCGTTTACTTCCATATTTTCTGTCAGGCCTTGAGTGTCTTCCTTAAGAAGAAGAAACAGTAAATTTTGCTTTCCTTGCTGCTGATGATATCGTTACTTCCGATTAGTCACTACAAAACGTTCAGAACAAGACTTCATTTTAGTGAGGAAAGGGTAAAACAAAATCTTATTGCCAGCGACCAAGTGTATTGGAGTAGTTAATTCCGAATGAATCCTCTTCAACTTCATCTTGAATATTTTCGGCAAGCCTTTGTTTTGCTGTAGACAGAATTCCCCAGTTTTCTGTCAAAAAAACACCCCAAGCGTTGTCACATCAAATGGGATTGAAAAATGGCCGCAACAAATGACATCGGAAAGGAAACGCGGTAAATCGGGCAAACCAATGTGCACCTTTGTCTATCGCTTAGACGGAAGGAAGAAGAAGTAAAGATATTTTACGATTAAATTATTCACTTGAGGGACGATTTTTCTCCACTTAATCCCCAACTTATCATTCCCTACATAGTTCTTACCTATTGACCCACTTTTTGAGAATAACCAGACAAAATAGGACCAGGATGCCCCCCTATGAATTAGCTTTTTATACAAACAGTTTAATAGGCCTTCTAAAGTTTACGTGGAACTTCAACCTCGTGCCTACTTATGCATTTCTAAAAACTCGGACTTGGCTGCTTTTTCGAAGTGTCCGATGTTTCTCATGTCTAGTGTTAAAACCTTCAGTTAGGTAATTGGAGAGAATACACTAGAGGTTATGAAACAGCAGATTCTTAAAAGGTCTTCTTTACAGATGACTCTGTTATTAGAACGGAATGGCAAAAAGGGATGGTGCCATTTTAGTCGTCTATTAATAGGGTTTGGCAAATTATAGAGTCCTACTTATGAATAGCCAAAAGTTTAGACACTTCCATCTTTTGTAATTACAAAAAATAATAGATCTCTCGTCCCGATCTTAAAATCAACTATGCTCCAGAACATCTCCATTTGGTGAATAATAACTGAATTAATTGATAGTTATTATTATTAATTAATTAATAATTGGTTATATATACCCGAGAATACCTACCAGTTGTTTGTTCAGTGAAGAAACGAATTTGATAACCTTGCTGTCATCAGCATCAACATTGACTCCCTTCTTCGTCCTTTTTTTGCGTTTCGGAAGGCATTTTTTGCACATCCAAAACGAGAAAACCAGACCGAAACACACGGCCAGGGCTATCATCAAAGCTTGTGAGGTGCTCGCGTCTTAGTGGTATAAAAAGGGAACAAAAATAATGCTTTAAATTTACAAAAAAGGAAGTGTTTGAGAATCTTATAGCTACTTATTTTGACTTATTGAGCGAGGCGAAATTTCTCGATTTATCACATAACAGCGGTACCCACTTTATACACCTATCATTTCAGGTGTTGTTTCAAGTGAGAGAGATACTGCATTAATTTGGTCTTAACTGTAATTTATAATACGTAAGTGAGAGGAATTACCGCAAGGCACTAGCCCAGACATTAGTCAGTCATTATTTTTACTTTAGGCGGTTGTACCGACACAAAATCATCACAACTTGATTGGTGAATGACAGAGAAGTTTCTATTTCAGCTGCCGCAATCATCTGGAAAATATGGTTTTTATCATTATCCCCTCTGGCAACTAGCTCAACATCACTTCATCCACACAGACTAGTAATGTTTTTCTTCACTAAAAGCACAAGCTTATTGTGCATTAATGACTTAAGGCACATTGCCACCACTCCCAGTTCGTTTTTTCCCTGTAGAACAAACCTTATTTAAAGGTGTGTAAGAAGTGTAGCATAAACACGACACTTTGAAGGGCTTTCGCAATTGCCATTACAGCAACGGACGTATGACATTATGCACAAAGCTGGTTCGCCTAAGCACAGTAATGGAGGAATCGAGTGGAGACGATAAAAAATAGTAGGAGTAAACACACTTTAAAGAAGAGGATACATTATTTTTGTTGGTTAGGACAGTGCGCATTTATAGTGTTGGAGCACAATAAATGCGCTGTTTTTTAAATGTTCAGAACTCAATTTATTAGAGCTCTACGAGTTTCAGATCTACGCCTTTTATGTTGAAAGAGTCGTATAAGCAGACAGTTAAGTAGAATCTATACCTTATTAAGCAAATATTTTTTGCTGTAAAATATAAAACTTGTACTGGTTTGATAAACGTGCTAGTTTGAGGGCATAGTCATGAATTCCAAGACATCATATCCGACTTCAGGAGCGATATGAAACACCGATTTTTTTACATAAGCTCAGCGTCACAAGTGCGTGATGTGCGCTTTTTATCTGCCCATGATAAATGAGTGCATCGAATTTTGGCGAAAAAGATTGTTTAAGCTTGAAATACATCAGAAAATGTAGGCTATTCTTAGTTTGTGAATGACCGTATATGTTTTTGATTTTTTAAGTCGCAATTGTGTTAGTATCACATAAGAAAAAAATTTGGGTCGTGGGAGTGTATGTAAATTGAAACCTCGGCAAGGGACCAGCTTAAAGCCTCTTAAGTGTAAAAGGCCATTATAGCGAGTCAAAGAGCTATAACACTGATTTGAGTAAAAGTTAAGCGAGGAAATTATCACTATTTTGTTTAAAATGCAATAATACTGATTTGGGATTTCACATAAACGTTAGATGCATACTAGATTTGTTGATCTCAATTTTTCTAAACCAAGTATTTGAAGAACAAATTCAACGAAAAAAATTGGTAAAAAAGTAAAGCATCAATTTTTCAAAAAGAATATGGCAGTTCATTTTTCTTGTGGTTTACTGACAAAGCTGGACCGATTTTGAACCTAAGTCCTCGCCCCTCGCAAAGGTCAAACTCGATCCCACTCAAATTCTTTTGATTGACTGTTGCCCTAATTAATCTTAATTAGAAGCCTTAAGATAATTCCAGATTTACTTATTCCATAATTGTATAAAGGAAAAGTGCTTTTAAATGACCTCTACCCTGCGCAGTTGAACGGTCGCAACTAAAATTGAGAGAGATAACTGGGTGCGGAATCAAAACCTCGTAACCTAAAGCGCCAATTCCGTATAATGGACATGATACTTGAACAGCTTTAGAGATCGCGTACAATGACGTAGTTAAAAAAAGGACAACCTGCCAAACGGACTTAAATAAAAGGGCATTCAGCCACCTTTCTTTACGGCTTTTCTTATTAATTAGAAGATCACAAGCTCCAGAAACTTAACTTGGCAATATATAATTGTCTGTTGCTGAAAACTAGCTTCTTAGTCACCTCAAAGCTGGCTAGAAACCGACCAAATGCAACAAAAGTTGACTTTTTGCGTGTCTGGATAGCCTTTTTTGCTTTGACTCCCTCCAAACCCTGGAATATGCTCAAGTTGTATTAAGCATATTTTGAGGTTTGTGAAAGTCACCTGGCGTATAATCATAGATTGACATAACTGGTATTAACTTGATGACAAAGCGCCAAACAAAATTGTGTTTCCTAGGTACAAAAAATATGGCAGAGGAAAAATCTTAACCGAAGAGAACAAGAAACGTTAAATCTTTGCTTGTGGGTTATGATAGCATCCTGTGAGTCAATTGGTATACATTAATAATCAAATACCATTAAATGAATTTCGCCATAGGAGTAACGCTGGAAGCTTCTGAGTCCAGACTTGTCTTCTCACGAAAGGTAAAAAGCCAAACTTTTTAAGCTCATGTTAAATACCGCGACTCATTATAATTGATGAGTTGGCGGTGGTCACGCTTCGATTTCATGTCATAAAATATAACCTTCGTTTGATTACAGGAAACATATATCTGCTAAAATAATTTTTTTGGATCAGATCAGGGCCGATGAATTTTCTTATGGAACTTCAACTGCATAATTAAATTCTTGTTGCACAAAGAGTGGTACTCAATTTAAAGACTAGAAGTGGATCCAGAGATTACCAATTCGACACCGGTGTCAACAAGGCATAATACAACGTCAAGCAATTTTTTCGCGCTTTGAAAAGCTCATGCGAAGGCTACTTTTTTCAACTATTAGCATGTTGTTTAGCCTTTCACAACGCAATTGCTTGCTCCTTATCCACTATTAATGTTACAGCCGCCACTGTGTGATAGCGGAAAAAAGTTTGCTCTTATTATAAAAGTGTATCCTATCATCACTAAGGTTACCTGTAACAGTACATGTTAACATCCCTTATTGTCTATTTTATGGCCCAATAAACTACCATTTTGTTAGCTTTTTATGAAGATTAGGGCGCCAATGAGATTTACTCACGTTTTGACGGCGGTGCTGGAGTAGAGCCCAGTGCAGCGAAAAATGGATGTTGATCAACTGAGGGTGTCGTGGGAATTCTGTAGGCCGGCAAACTGAGGTGTTCGCGTTCTTCATCGGAAACAATGGATCCTAGAATTTTCGGTGCCTCAGTTGTGCTGTTATCATTATGCCCAACAAGCTCGTTTGTCGCAGAAAGTATTAGAGGAGCCATTCCCTAGGTGACGAAAGGACAACTTTCACTATGAATGGTTTTGGTGGCGCCATGCTAGGAGTGCAGGTGGTTTTTTGATTCCACAGTTTTGGACCATGCAAGAATACGGGGATTAGAAAAAAAAAATTTACAACGAGCACACATTTCTAGTTTTAACTCGGATGGTTTCCTACAAATAATAATAGAGATGTATTGGAAAATAAGGAAGGAAATCAATCTAAAACAAAATGACATGTTTTGTTTTTGAGTAAAAATTGCCAACTCCAGTAGGCTTCAAAATATAGATTAGCTAAATGAATCCACGACTTCTTCCAAAAGGAAATACTTGTATGCAATCTCACTTTTATCAAACCTCATGCCTACAAAGGAAGGGAAAAGCCTAGTCTTGTCCTCCGCTTTCAAATAAATTTCATTTTTTACAGATAAATGTCTTAAATTTAAAAAGATGTAATCACTTGCAGAAAAATAATCAAAACAACAAAACATGAGGCAGTATATTTCACTATCTCAACCAAAGTGGAGGTGAGGTCATGCTCCGTCTTGAAAGAATGGCAATTTCATTCGATAGTTTAACCACTTCTAGCTAATTCCAAAGAAGGATTTTCTGGCATATATTTAGAACTTATTGCACCAAGCAGAGAAAAGTTAATTAAAACTGTCTCAACTTCATCTAAAGAAAACCTAAATTTACGCGACACACCAGCACAAATTAAGCATAGCCTCTGACACTAAAGTGGCGCGTGCATCAGAAATGTGGGTTGAATAGTGGAGGAACGGGAAGTTCAGGATAAGCAATGGTATTTTAGTCGCATAACGAATTTGAAGGCAAATCCACTTCCCATTTTGCACTCAGTCAGTCACACAGTCAGCCAGTCAGCAAATCATCCACAATCCTCAGTTTTCACAATGTCTTTGAAAGGAGTGAAGACTACCACATTGGTGGTCTCTGAAACCTGCTGTCACCTGTCAGTGCATGCGGGTGGGATTCAACTCCCATTCTCCCGCGCCTTTCCCTGCTGATGTAGGTGCAAGTGATTTGTCTAAATCACTCAAGTTAAACAGTGCTGCCGGTTTTCCTTCATTCACGAATCTGGTCAGATCTAGAGGAAGAGGGACTTGACATTCTTCCCTATGCAAAATAGTACATCCCATCTACGTGTGATGAATCATTCTCTAAGTGATTTTATGCACTATAACAACTGTGACGAGGTGCTATTCTCTGCAGTTCTGGAATTATTTTTTAATTTGGTTTTGCTGAGAAGACAAACTCTAATCACTTCTACCTTGTGCAGTCGGCAATAGATGAGATAAGGGTTTAACGTGGCAGTGGAACAAAGGAGAGGATATTAATAAGCACAGGAAATGAAGTGGTAAGAATAAGGGTCTTTTTATGTTTACAAACAAACATTTGCCTTTATGTGCTCCTAGGACGCACAATAAACCATTGTGGAGGGTTGCACAGGAATGTTCACGAACTTTTTGGTCTAATGTTATTAAGTCTCCTACATCCATACGAAAGATTGCCAGTTAAACTTTGAAAATGTGCAACATGGTGACATAATTCATCGTCTTACTATTTATGATATTTAAACAAACCGTAAACTTAACGTTTTACAGTAAATTTCTGTTAATTTTTGTTAATGCACAGCTAACATTGTACTAGACAAAGCTGAAGATCATCGTTCACCGGAGGAAGTGGTTCTCTCTTATTATATAAAAGATAGTGTAACCATTTAATTTAGGGTCATGCACGGTAATTCTTCTTTGCGAGTTTACTTTTCAGCACTATCAAGTGAGTGAAAGAGGTACGACCTTTCTCTATCAAGAAAACCTTAATGCGAAACTGTATTTCTTTCTTTCCGGCACAAATATTTGGGTTACTGAGCAACTATGTGTGTCAGTGTGCCTTGTTGTTTTCCTGTTGTCAAGACCTCAAATCTACCTCTTTCGACAAAATAAAGCGTTTCCATCAAACAAATCACTTTAACAGGTAGAAAAATTTTAAAATAAGGTGAAGGTCTGTTTATTCATGAAAACAGGTCTACTACGTTTGTTCAACCAAAACGCAGAGTAAATAACATTAAAAGTGGGTCTGGTTAGGGCTACAAGTTAGTCTTTTTTAAAAGGAAATGGGTAACGGACTAAGAATTTATACTTAGACTTGGAAACTTTATTTGCATTTGAATAATTCGCCTTTGTTTACCGCTCGGTTGTACTAAATGGCAGTTTGGTATAATATCAAAAGCTAATTTCTAATTATGAAGGAAAGAAGACCGTTACCAGGACATTTAAAACAGGTAATTTTTTTCCTTCTGAGAGTGTCGCCTTTTTTATCGCAGTGGAATCTGGGGAAAAAGTGTGAGCTTCTCAGTGCAAATTATGTGCAGACGTGGGAGAAGTTAAACTTTAAAAGAAATGTCGCCCTTTACTAGGTAATAATAAAACATCTTCCTCCAAGCACCTTTGTGTAACTGACTGCAACTAGTAAATTGGAATGGGCGGACAGAATTTTTCCTTCTTAGCAAAAGCTACTATCTTCCAGTCAAAATAAAGTTTTCACCTATTCCTGATTGCTGAATCACTGAAGGCAAAATACTCGCAAATTTAAAAATAAAGTGAAAAATTGGTCACCAATGACTGAACTTAACGCAGTTTTATTCATCAAAAACAAAAAAATAAGGCAGCAACTTGTTCTCATCTAACCTGAACAAATCTTGTGGCACGAAATTTTATGCTTTATAATATAATCAACAAAGAGGCACAAAAAGGAGATGTAGCAATGAAAATAGTGGAATGTAGACCTCCATACCAATAGTTCATGAAAGTTTAAAAAGCTGTAGTTCTAGATTCTATGCGTATTCGAAGTTAAAACAGGTTGTTAAATTAGCAGGTAGCGGAAAAATCATTTGCATAACCAAATAATACATACCTTCTTAAGGAAAGCTGTAAAATTACTTACGTTTGCGTTCCAACGTGTGACCGCTTGAGTTCGTTTCCTCTACCATCCTCAACCAATAGGAGTTCGAGATCCATCCCCACAAGCTCATTGGCTGGCTCTCCCATTCTATGGCTAATCTACTCACTCCGGAAGTTGTCTACGAGGTTGAGAATGTACATCAAGGAGCCCGTCGGGCTTTGAGAGTAGCGAAGCTATCGACTACCGCATGTACACACACGGCTACATTGTTATCATAGACCGTGGGACAATTGTCAAGTCCTAGTGGGGCTTCATATAACAGAGCTATCCAGAATTTGTTGAGCTCTTGTCAGAAGGTGATTTAAGGTTTAAAAATACATAATTTGTGCAAATTATCCACTCAGTGATGACTAAAACAAGGGTTGTAAAAGAAGGGCTGTATTCGAGAACCCTATAACATTAATGGAAAATGTGACAGTAACAAATAAAGAAGAAAAGACCAACTAGAAAACTCATTTAACGAGCGTAATTGGAATTTCTCTGAAGTTTGCCGGAACATTATTTAAGACTATTAGGCGCCTATCGTCAACTAAAGGAAAAGTCTTCATCTAGTAAAATGATTTTCTAAAGCATTTTGAGATGCAGGATGATCATACTATAAATGATCTATTATAGAAATCTCGTGCTATCATTTCGGGGATTTAGTAGCATGCTTTTATAGCTGAGTTTTAAAAGGAAACAAAAGATATTTTAAATTTGTTGTTTTGATAAGTTTCTCTTATGCAATAAGGTTCTCTGTATTACTTTCCCTAGAAGGGTATTTCATCCAGCTGCCAAGAAGTGGTCATGAAACCCAAAGATGCAATAAATTAATGTTATTAAGTGGCAGCACTAGCTTGCCCTTTCAAAGTGCTAAGATAATCTTTGTTTTATGAGGGTGACTATTGCTATGAAAACCTTTTTAAAAGTGTTTTTACTTAAAATATCTAAGAACCACGCCTATTATAAATTTTGGTTATTTAACCGAAGCTCTATTGGGAGGTTAAGCCACATCGACATGTAAGTGGTCAAGGAAATGAAAAGAAAGGGAATCGCGCCTTGTTAAATTCTGCTTTGCTGTTAAAATAGGATTACTAAAATTAAAGTGCCTGCCACATAATCCAACAGAATGATAATAGATGGAAATGGAGATATGGCACTGTTTTAAGGTCATATCAAATGAAGTACAGACTTAATGCATTCATTTGCATCCTAGAAGTACAAAAATGTGGTTAGTTTTAACCATAGATTTGGGAGATTCGCGTAGTAATGCCCGGTATAACATAATGAGGTGTTCTTGAACCATAACCGGGGAACAAAATCTTAGGAGTAAACAAATACAGCGGTTCACTTTCTTCTCCTTGGAATAATCATCTCTACAATTTAAAAGTCTTTTAAATCAAAGCCCATATTACCCGACCATTCCACTTTTCCCAAAGTTTTTCGGAGAAATCAGTAAAAAACTTAGCTCTATCTGTTACCATTACTCTCTTTCATTTTCCAAGTACCTCTTTTGCTCTGCCTTATGCACCGAAAGAGTAATAATGATGTAATGAAAAATGAGCATCAGGACTACAGGAGGATGCGAATGAAGATAAGAAAAGGTTGAGAATGAGGGAGTATCTCTCCCTGTCCTTACAACTGTAAAAATCTTCTCTAAGATGAGTTTTATGGTGACATGAGGTCCTACTCTGTGCGAATTCAGTGCAATAAAACAAGTCCCATGCTACAGATTTTCACAATATTTCATTTTGAAATACTAATTAGGATCGGGACCAAAGCAAAATCCATTCAATAAATAAAACCATTTTCCCTTTAACACACTTCCACTATGTAAAGTAGCAGCAATGTGCATTTGCATAAGACGGCAATCCTCTGATAGTTTGTACTTCTTGTTTAAGCCATGGATTATCTCCAGCATGACTTCGGTGATCCGTTCAGAATTAGCATCAGAGCCATATTTTGTAAAGATATCATCAGAAAAATGACCGCATAAATACGCTTCCCAACGAATTCGTTAATTTTAAAATGATACGTTCCAGTA